TTTTTTTGCGAGGAATTTTTTTGGTTGGCTAGTGTAAAATAGTAATGTAGTTCTCATACAGCTACAGATTCCTTTCATTAGACAAGGTCTCAGGCTTGATTATTTATAAGGAGTAATTGATTGGAAAATTCATTGATGTTCAATATGTTGCCTTGAAAATTTGATGAAGGCCGACTGGAGTGGGAAGTACAATTTAAAGAATATCAGCATAGAACGATTAAAGGATAAGAGAGTGATAATTACGTTAGTTTTTTCTTTTTTTTTTTTTTGTTAACACTACAAATGTAAGTTGCCTTAAAGCAAGCGTCGGGTTTACCGCCATTATGAAACGCTTATCGTATTATTGTATTTTACAGATTTACAAATTTTGTTGTTGAGCTGATGCAATTAATATGTCGAGATTGATGAATATTGAACTCTAGAATTTAAATATAACAAGGGATCTCTCTCTCTCTCTCTCTCTCTCTCTCTCTCTCTCTCTCTCTCTGTTCTCTCAAATATTGGAATTTGTTCACCAAGGTGTTTCATTTTTGCTCATGCAAAAGGCTCACATCTTCATTATTATTTTTGGGTATGCGCTCGTTGATAAGCATTTAGTAAATGCAACGGTAGTGGGTAATGCCCGATTGCGCTGGCTAATATTGCCAGACTGCCAATTAAAGAAGCTTAGCCAGCTTATTGCCACATTTATAAATTGATTAACAATTTGGCGCTGCCAGATGGTTTTACAAATTCAAAATTAGCTCATTAAACTGATATTTGTTTCTTAACCTATCGATGCTATCAAATTAATACCAGCAAATTAATATAAATACAAGTTTTCCTTTCTGGCAGTGCAGTAAACTTGACTAAAGCGGTTCGTTAAATCAAGATCTTTTTATTTACTAAATTATGGTATCGAAGATATCATTTTCAATTTCTATAAATTACACATTGAAATTCCATTGAATATTATTCATCAATAATAATACTCTAATAAATTAACGACTAATAACAGTTTTGAGATAAGCAATTATCAAAATATTTCACATCAAATTCTCAAATCAATTCTAGATAACTGCTCAAATTTGTCCAACTCAGAATGATTTCACTTTTATTGAAACTACAATTCAGTTAAGTAGTAGGCGCTCTGGGTTTTGGTGATCCAGCCAATATAGGCGGAGACACGGGTGTAGACCGAGGGATAGTTGGCTGCGCCGCAGGGAATGTAGCCCCAAGAGACAACTCCAATAAGCTCAGAGGGAGCATCCTTGTGCTCGACGACCAGGGGGCCGCCGGAATCGCCATTGCAGGCAGATTTGCTCTGCTGCAGGGAATCGGAGCAAATGTTGGTTGAAACCAGCTTAGAATTCGACGGCATCAATGCCTTGCACTCATCGTAGTTGATAGTGTTGGTGGTGATGGTTTGCAGAGTCTTAGCTGCTGTCAATATATAGGACTTTGGCTGGCCCCAACCGTACAGATGGGTCTCGCCCTCGTGGATTTCCCCAGGGCTGGGCAACACAGCGGGGCTAACCCACTCGTTGAACTCGAAAGGTTCGCTAACGTGAAGGAGCGCGATATCAAAGGGGCCTACGGCCGCTTCGAAGTCTTCGTGAATGCGACCAAAGTCAACCAGGCGCTGCTGAGTTCGCTCATCTACTACGGCACGCGCATGCAGTCCGGCAATGGCACTCATGCCAACTGGATTGGAGATGCAGTGCGCTGCGGTGAGGATCCAGTTCTTGTTGACGATAGTTCCTCCGCAGCTGTGCGAATGATGAGTGAAGTTGTTGGAGAGTGAGACAATGAAGGGCGCCTGGTGTGGGGTAGCCTCGATGCCGTTGACTACGAATCCAGTGGCAAAGCTGGGAACAACCTTGACCAGGCTATCGGTCAGCTTGCCGGCCTGAGCACTGACCGCCAGAAAGGCGAGCAGCGTAACAGCGAGTACTTTCATTTTGGTCGATTACCTGAAAATGATCTAATTGTTGATGCGATGTAATCTTTTATAGGCACACGGAAAAAGAACCGTTAGATGAGGGACTATCGCTAGATTAGCAGATAGATTTATGGTGCTGGTTGCCCCTTGAGCGACAATCATATTTTCTGATTTCCATTTTTGTCAAATCCTCAAATTCAGGCTAATCAGCAGAATAAAAGATCTTCTATGGTCAAAATTTAATTGATAAGAAATCAATGTTGTGAAAGCCTGCCTGTTTTAGATTATGCCCACGAGCTGCGTTTCATATAATTATTTATATAAATATA